TGGTATGATCTACCCACAGAGATCCGGACCCTTCACACTCTCTCGGCCTTCCAGAAAGCCATTAAAACTTGGCTGTTCCGGCAGGCCTGGGGTTGTTGATTCCAAGATACGGTCCAGCCCCATTCAGAATGGAATGCATGATGTGTTGTATTTTATCTCTATCTTTCCTCCCTGTATCTTACTTTCTTTTTTGATTATTTTTGTACTGTAAGCCGCCCAGAGTCCTACGGGATTGGGAGGCATATAAATGTTATTAAACTTATAAACTTATGGTAACTGAAAGACTCAGGCTTTGCTCAACACCTTATCCACACAATATTTTAAAGGAGAAATACTCCAAACCCAAACATACCCAGTTCAAATCTTAGAGTCAAGGACTCTACAAAATATTGGAAGTAAGGCTTAAGATGTTTGAAATGCATGGTCATGCTAGAATCATATAATATCTGGTCACAGGGTCACAGACTCTTGGAACGGACCACTGAGTCCAACCACCCCACTCCGTTCAAAAATCCAAACAAAAGCAACTCAAAAGCTTCAAAAGCCCTTGTTTAAACTGAAGGGAAAGTCACAACCTCCATGGGTAATTGCATTGCACTCATGTCAGAAGCACCAAAGCACTTCCAGGTTGAGAGGATTAAGCCAGTGACATCATCATTACCTGGGGGATGCCCAGTTGGGAGCAGGAGTGAAGGACAGGAACTCACCCCACTCCACAGCAGCACTTGGGTCTCAAACGCGAGTTTACTAATCTCCAACCCAGTGTCTTAATCATGCAAGCCACAAGGGTCCATGGGTAATTAATTGGTTTAATTGCTTAATTACTCTTCATGTTAGGATTTTTTCGCCCAGCACTCATCTGGGATTTGTCTTTCTGAAACATAAATCCATGGTTTTGCCTCCTAAGTACAGGCAATGAATTCTTATTTGTTTGGAGGGCGGGATAGAATAGCAATGTAATTTTTAGACCTTTCCTGAATAATTCTACTTAGCATGGGTTATGATAGGGCAAAGCATCAAACAATGCATAACAGATACAGAGTATCTGTCTGTCCTAACTATAAATCTGAACTTTGGCAGCAAGTACGAACTTTGGCAACCTACCTCCATGAGGGAGGCACCCAAAATGGAAGCTCTTAAGCATCCTTGATGGTCCATATCTTCACTTCAGCCATCCTTGAGGGTCCAGAAAGGAAGACTCCCTATTTGGAGCAGCTATGCCCCTACATCTCTAGATACATAGAAACAACAAAGCATATACTTCTCCAGTGCTGTACTATAAATATTTATAATAGTCTTATTGTACAATTGCATCAAAAATATCCAGGGTGCATGGAACATTCCATGCAGTTTTTGAATACCAACCTTGCTACAACCTACAGCTCTGCCAGGTCTGTGTACCCTAAAATCTGCGAGATGAACATTTTAGGCTCATATTTGGGATTCAGCATTACAAATGATTACTTATATGCCATAA